AATTCTCTGTAGGCATTTATTCTATATACTTAAGGGTTTTTTTTGTTTGAAGGAGCATGACAAAGCCTTGTATAAATTCTTACTGTTTAACCGAAGATAAATTCAATATCTCGAATAATGACGCTCTGATTATAAAACTACTCTTTTATATAATAGTAATAAAGCTTGATTTAACAAAGAGATCCTGTCACGTCCGGTATCTTGACATGCTTTTTTAAGCAAATAAAAAAACATTAAATATATAAAAATGAAGATCCATAAAGAATTTTGAGTTGCACGATCAAAAAAGCGAAAAACAAAAATTCCGCTTTTCCTGCAAAAGTCATATTTTTCAAGCAGAAAATAACGAAAATCATATCATTTATGACAGATCGGACCCGACGGGAGACACAACAGACTTCAAGACTGAATGCTCTGCTCTTTCCTTCTCGCTCAGACTTTGGACTACCTTTTCATGCATTTATTTCAATTTTCATTTTTTGACATGAGTAACCTGAATAATATGTTTTTGTTTTCGTTGTAGATCTTGGTACAGGCGAAGAAACAGTTTCTGTTGAAAAAACTCAAGTATTTGTTTTACAAGCAGTACAGACTAATACGATACCTCTTCAAGTTGAATTGCATCAAGTATTTTATATGAAAATTATCTTCGATGAAAAAAAAAAACAAAAATTTCTATTTTAGATTGTTGTTGAACGTGGTCTTGCATTTAATAAAGCTGTTCAATTAAAAGAACAATCAATAAATCCCGATGATGGTTTTTATATGTCAAATGAAAATCGTACTTATTGTCGTTTACCTATACTTGCTTTGTCAACAACATCAAATGTTAATGTTGGAAATATAAGAAAAAGTGAACAATTATTTCGTATATATCGTCCTAATACTGGTTTACAACAACGATATGAAACATTAGAAAGTCTTAGAAAAAAATATGAAAAAGTAAAACAATTTATTTATTAATTTTTTTAGTTGCTTTTTTTTTTTGTTTTACTCTGAAGATTCTTCCTATACAAGCACAAGTTTATTGGGATGAATTATATCATAAAGCTGCAACATTATGTATCCATTTTATTAGGTAGAATAAAAAAGAAAATTGGAATTATTTGGAGAAATTTGATATTTTTTTCTTTTTTAGACAAGGTCATTGTCCCATTTCATCATCAAATCATCAACAAACATGTGAAGTTGGTTTACGATCACGTCGTTTTTTTGTTCTTTCAGGTAGTGTTCTTGCATTATGGTCACCAATGGAACGAATATTACCAGAAGGAAAAATTCAAATGATACGAATAAAAACAACACCAATTAATAATAATAATAATCAATCGATTCCATTGAAAATCGTTGGATGTATTATTCCAAAACGATGTTTACAAGATTTAGTGCATTTGCTTGAAGAGTCATCAATAAATATATATTTTAAATCAGCCTAGTCTCATTTTGTTAGTTTTTTTTCTTTTTGTTAGTATATACGTCTTGTATCCGTCCAAATAAAAGAAAAAAATGCTTCATTCTTTGATTCAATTTTGTCGATTACATTTTGTTTTTGTACACTGGGTGTGTTTTGTAGATGAACAGCTATGTGCGTTTAGTTAGCTGATCATGGTTTCTTTTCTTTTCTTTCTTTTTTTTGTTGCTTTCATTTCAAAGGCTGTTCTCTGTGTTTTCGTCTTGTTCTATATTACGGTGACGTGACTTATTGTTTATTCAGTAAAACAAAATAACAGAGATAAGAAATATGTTATCTGTAAGGATATATGAAATTTCGAATATTTCAGAATGAAAATAATAGATTTGTCGAGCAGTACTTGAATATTTATTTGTTTGTTAAGAATTTAATTTTATTGTTAAATCCAAGACAAAGTTATTATGTTAAATATAAATATTTAGTGTTAGGAAAATTAAATTTTGAATTTGAATGTTAATCAGAACTGTCAACAGGTCACGTTTTTTAGGCCTAGCCTGCAGATTAGAGCCTATCAGATCCAAAATTTTCGAACTTGGACTCGACTGGATCCAAGACCAACTCGATAGGTTCTACTGCAGACATATGCTAAACTAAAATAGTTCAATTGATTCAACAATTACTTAATTCATATTCTTTTCTCTCTTCTATGTTTTGTCATAATCCATTTTGAAGTTATTCAAATCATTTGCTTTAAAAATTTTTCGAAATACAACTCAATCTATATTGTCATCTAACGTTCGAAATAGACTATGATGTTAATTTCAAATAGATTTTGATTAGACCAGATTGGCAACTTTGATGTTGATAGTAGAATTATTTGAAATTTCGAAGAAATGAGACAAAAGATAGTCGCAAATATTCATTTGACTTATTAATTGATTGTAGACAGTTCTAATCAGGACTGACAAATCTTCTGATTTAGCCAGGAGTCTCCTGGTTTTTAGAGCTTCCTTCTGGTGAGAAAATCTTCTGGTACCAGGAGCTGGTTTTTAGCACATTCTCCTGGTTTCTCCTAATTTTGAGATTTTATAACTTTGATTTTAGTAAGAGTTTCAATAAAAGGACAAACAAAAAAAGAAAAAGAGAACAATGACCATAGTATTAGATAGATTCCAGTATCAATCAGATAAAACGTTGTTCCCACTTGATTTTTGTGACAATTAGAGAATGAATTTCGTAAGCGAATTTTGTAGCACTAACTTATGTACTTTTAGCTAAAAAGAAAGGATCATTGTGTATGTTTTTGGATGTTTTCATCACTAAAATGTGAGATTAGTTTGGTGTCAAATTCATTAGAGATCAATTTTTTGCCACGTTCTTATCCATTTTAAAGGAAACTTTTTCAATTTTGTTCGTATAGTTTAATGATTGACTGTAAAATAAATAGTAATATAAAGTATATGTAATAATCTTTCTTCTTTTTCTTACAAGCCACTCACAATAGCAGTGTTTGTGTGGCAAGTTAATGAGATTAGATATATTTAGGTTCAACTAAAGATCTCATTACTAAACTAACAAATCCAAAATATGAGCTGTTGTTGACGTGCTTCGACAGAAAATATTTGAATTTTAAGGTATTTAAGTCTATTAAAGGTCCTCACAGTTCAAAATTTTAGTACAATTTATTATTGTTTTTTTTAATGATTGAATAGAGCTTGTCGAGTTTTATTAGAAAATATGTGTTTCAAATTAGAAAAAAAATTTACGAAACTAGAAAAGTTGTATCTAGCGATCAGGAAAAAATAATGATCAATTGTACTGAAACTTTGAATTATGAGCACTTTGAATAACCATGAATATCTTAAAATTCGGATATCTCCATCAGGATACGCCAATAACAGCTCATACTTTAGATTTATTAGTTTGGAGATGAGATCTTTAATTTGATTCGATTATATATAATCTTAGTAACTTACAAGACAAAAAAAGCTCCATTGTCAGAGAAAGATTTTGTTATCACCGGCAACAAGGAGTAAAGAAGCGTTTTTATGAACGAAAAATTTTAATTTACTATAAGAAAGACCATGGAACAGCTTTTTCATTTGATTAAAAATCTCCTGTTTTTTCTACTGGTTTTTGATAAAAAATCTCCTGGTGAACTTCTGACTTTTTTGCAAGAAACTTCTGGTTTTTGAAATTTCGATTTGGCAGCTCTGATTCTAATCAAGGAATTATTCTAAATAGGATAAACTAGTTTAGAAAATAAAATCTGGAATATTCCGACCAAGATGTTTTCCCCCAATCTTGGAAAGTTTATTTTCTTCAGCGGTCAACTTTAACAAAAATTTACTGATCGACTTCTTGAATCATTGATCCCCCGTCTAATCCTGACGGCTTCGGAACATCCCTGAATAATATATATATATATTGTCAGTAGACATGCACCCAAACTCAATAACAAAATCTGAATATTTCAAACTTATCTCATACATTATAAACTATATCAATAAATTGTCGTGTCTAAAATATACAAGGATATCTGTATTTGACAACCAAACGGAGAATGATGCAATGAATCATTTGATTTAATAAGAAATTGAAAAGAAACTGAAAAACAACCCAGAATCAAATGCAAGGATTTTGAGATTTTTGACTATTTAATAAAAAAATGTCTGAATTAGATTCAACAATTGATTGTGCTTGCAATTGCAAAGCCAAATGCGTCACAAAAAACAATGTTCATGTTAAAAAAAAATGGAAGTTGTTTTTTTGTTCGATAAAATGTCATTCAAAAATGAGGTAGTTGTACAAATATCGGTGAATATCTTGTAAATTGTTTAGTGAAATGAAAAGATATTGTTTTATTCTATTCAGATTTTTATTGTGTTAATTTATTTCTGATCGAATTCTAATTGTGCGTTGAAAAAAAAATCAATTAGATAAAGGATAATACATTTGTTGGGATTAACTTATCAGCGATAATATTTATCTACTATATGATGAATCCTATTTAACATATCCACATGTTTTATTGAGAGATTATTTTAGCAGTAAATCAAAAATCGAAACACTTAATGACCTGACATTTTTACTATTTATAGCAGTGAAACATAAGATATCTGATAGTTATTTTAAGAGTTACAAAAAAAAAAATTAGTAAACTCGATTTTATACTTCAGATAAAAATTTCACTGACAAGAAAATTCTTCATTATAAAGTCTTCAAAGTTTGTGGATTCTTTTTGAGAAAAATAATTACAAAATTATATATTATTTTAACTCATAGAAACCCATTTTTAGTAATCATATAAACTCCAAAAATATTTTGTTAAATTTCTACAAAAAGTAATCTTGAATTTTTTTTCATGAAGGCATCAAACTATTGTCTCTATGAAGAATTTATAAGAAGAATTTTGTTTTAAATTATTATTGATTAAAGAATTTATTTAATATATTTATACATATATATATATATTTTTTATAATTATTAAAATGAGCACACAAATCACCAAGATAAATAAAAAGAATATTTCTTTTTTCTGTTTAAAAAGAAAAAAAGAAAAAAAATTTTTGTACGATTAATTCTCATGTTAATATTCATATGGTGGTGGTGGTTGACCACTTGAATCATTTGTTGGAGGTGTACGTGGTGCAATAACCATTTTATGCCAACCTGGTTGATACCCATCATTAGACAATTGTTGTAAAAAATCTTTATCAACTTGTTTTAATTTCATTTCAATCATTTTTTTCCATATTAGTGTTAGAATTACTAATATCAAACATATAATAGCCAAAAAACTTGCTAAAACAATTAATAAATATAATTATTTACATAATTAAAAAAAAACAATCAATGACTTACCAAAACCAACATAAATTAAACCAAGACCATATTGAAAAAAAAGATGACCTGTGTCATGAACAAATTGTCCTGGAGCATAAAAAGGTGTTGATACAGTATATAATATTGTAACCAAAAGAATCACTGTAAATGAAAATGTTAGAATCAATAGAATCCCAATAAAACCATAAATAGGTCGCATATAACGATTATTTGAATTATAATATATAAGTATTGATGAACCCCATGATGGAAAAACTGTTAAATTTGAAAGAAATAATGCAAATGAAACTAATTCTATAATAATATTAAGGGAATGAGGTCGATTTTCTTTTGTCCATAAATCACATTTAAGATCGGAATCATCATAATGACCATTACATATTGTCCATAAACCTATTGAACCATATTCAAGTAATCGAGAATATCTTGTTGTATTTGATATTGTTGATTTATTACCAATTTGAATTAATTCATATGTAAACCATGAATCAGAACGAAAACTTAAAAGAAGAATAAAAGCTAAAAATGTTGTTAATATACTAGCAAATGTTAATGGCCATTTTAAATGTGAATAATCATTTGCAGTACTATTCATCGCGGTCACATTGCGCCATCCCATTATATCAGTGTATAATCGATTTATATTAACTTACATGATGCTTTCATACTAAAAAAAACAATAACAAAATACAACACTTATACAATTATTTGCTTAGATTAAACAGCACCATAGAAACATATATACGAACGAATATTATCTCTCGAAGAATCAATAATCTGTTTACTACATTTCAAAAGAATCTGATTGTATATAAATACACTGGGCCAAAGTGGCGGGTAAAGAAACAAAAGGCATATAGGAATAAAAATGAAGTTGTCTAATATGTATATATATATATATATATACATATATTAACAGAGACATATTCATCTCTACCCTTAATATATAAATACAGGTTTTTTTTTTGTTCTTCTCTATCGTCGCTTATTCCTTTCTGTCACTCGATAAATATCCAAAAAAAAAACGCACGAAAGGACAGAAAGAACAAAACATAGCATTAGTTACAATTGGGTTAAGTAACATATCAGAATAAATATCGACAAGAGTCTGAAAAAAAAAGAATGTTATTTCTTTTATATTAATAGACACGTCAAACGAAACGACCTCCCACATTATTTTTCGGACAATTTATTCTTATTTAACGAGCAATCTGCAATTGCTTTTCTTTGAAATTATTCTTATGCATCAAAGACTTTATGACAAACATCATTAACAATGACTGATAGATATTTTATCTGATTTAATCATTACTATTCAATAGATGTCTATCTCTATCGATAGGATATTTTCCATAGTTTACTATTTTGGATGTTATTTCGTCAGTTCAATTTATTTCACTATAGATAGTTTGTTCATGTCATCCATGATCGACTGGAAAGCGCGGCGTCTTTCTGTAACCGGAGCTACTTCTGGGGTTGGGCTGTGTGAATGACTTGCGGGCGGGAGTCCTGTTTGTCGTTGCTCTATGTTGATCGAACGTCCGCACGAAGTTCGGCATCGACATGGTGGGAGTTGAGGAATCTCTCCTTCCAGGGCGTCTAAGGAAGGTTGAACCGGCTGAGGCGCGAATATGCGAGCAAGTCAAAAACCTCATGTCAAATAGTCGTGGGATAGCGCTTGTGAATAGACAGCGACAGGCAGCCCGTCCAATATAGTTGGACCATAGTCTGTTTTTTTTCTTCTTTAAACAGTTAACTAATTAATATATTTTCTTATTTGCATTTTTTTTTATAAACCCATGAAGACAGTGAATCATTTTTTTTGCGATAGAAAACAATAATTGTAATAAAAAAAAGTTTTTAAACTTTCGCTACCAGATTTGAAGACTTTAATGAAATTTTGATTCATCAGAATTTATTTTAGAATTTCTACTCGTCATAAATAAATAATTTTTCTACAACTCTTCCTATTGTTTCTACTTTAAGGCTATTCTCCGTTCGCTTTTATGGATTTTCGGAGAATAGTTCATCAGAAAGTTTTGCAGCTTTCAAGACAGATAAATCTTGATGAGTTGAACAAAATTATTCAAAGACTCAAAATTCACAGAAACTGTCTTCTGTGAAATATTGAGACCAAAATTACCCTACTTTTTGCTCCTTTTATCGTCTTTCCTTTGAATAAAAAAGCTAAAATACCGGACATACTTTCAATAAAAAACACTTGTTTTTTTCACAGGGGTAAATTTAATAAACGCTGCCAAAAATCATCAGAGCAATATTTGTTAACAAAAAAAGTACCCACGCGATATCGTATCTAGTATAGGTAAAAAAAAAAGTTTCAGTTCGATATCTCTTACCATACTGGTGAAATGGAGGCGAAACTGCAATTTTTTTTCTTGAAAACAAGAAGAGCCAAAAAAATAGGGTTTCGATTTTCTCTAAAACACTGATTGTTTTTTCCTTTCTATAGAAGTTTTTACAAATTTTCAACTACTGCATTTTTGATGACGTTTTTTTTTATATTTGGAAAGTATTTTCTTTTTCTATTGGCGACATGCTTGTAGTCAGAAAAAAACAGCATAGCAATTAAACATGATCTCCTGTGTTCATGCTTATTGTGAACAGAGAGAGAAGAAGAGGTAAAAAACTGTCGAACAAATGAAAGACACACAGTATCATTTTCAGCTGAGTCATATGAATCATATCTCGAACTAAGACGAACGGTGTCTCAATATGCAGCTCCAATCTAATATTAGGCTAAAAATCAGTTAAATACAAGCAGATTAAACACAAAGACTAAGTATTTTGAAAAACATCGAATAAAAAATTCAGTTCAAGATGTTGAGTCTCGAAAACTATGTTTTTTTCGAAGTCAAAACATTGTGAAAAGAAATTTATTTTTGCAAATCGATAGAGGACATTTCAAAGAATATGTATCAATATAAAACACACAATTGAAAAAATTTTGATGTTCACGTTCGGAAAATTTCAGTGGGAGAGGATCTGTTAACACGAAATACTGTATATGAGGGTACCCATGCCATCAAAATCGACTCACTTTTGACAATTAATCGTGATTGATCAGAAACTTTTCAGATATTCTGATAAATGCCGATTAATCGGTGATTTTACAACAAGCTTCAACAGTAAGTTTTTTTTTTTTTTATAAAAGTTTGTTTTTTTTTCGTTTATTTAGATTAATCTCAACATCAACATGAATAGTAGATATTTTTCTTTTGTTATAAGCTGTATTATACTGGATCTGATTGCTGCTCAGTAAAAACACAAAAAAGAAAAAGTACATCATATAGAATCAATAGAAGAGAGCGAATACATGAAAAATAGTAAAAGATCGTACACAAAATAGTTCCAGTCACAAATGTAGAAAGCAAATAAAGAGTGATAAAATAATCGAAAACAAAACTAAAGTCTAAACATGAGGAGAGACGATACACGATAATTAGAGATACGAGTGTGTTGTAGAAAGAAGGAAAGAGAAGTGATAACAAAGGAAGGATAACGTTCAATGTATAAACAGTTTCTGAGAATGAAAAGAAGTGAAAGAAACAGTGCTGTGTATTAATCACACAATGAGTGTCGATAATAGATAAAAGATGTTATATATAAAATGAAACGGAAATGTTACGCATCTTATTTTACCATGTATTTTATTAGCTGTTTCTCGTTTGATAACCTCATTTTTATCTCGATGTATGGAACCAGCTCGTGAATCATGATTATTTCTTATTGGTTATTACATTTCATATATTCCACTTTTACTAATTTCCGTCGTGTTTATTTTACCTTCAGAAAAATGCAAAAACGAATTTTTCACTGTCACTAGAAAAAACCTTTAACTTCGAAATAACAATGTTCTACTCATAATGTTGAATTCAATAAGACACGATCAATCCATGAATAAAGAAAGAATTACACGATGAAAAATACAACAACTACAAAACTTGCAAGATAAAAGTTCAAAAATATGTGTTGATTTCCCCTGTTTGATTCTTCTATTGTTTTTTCAAAATAAAATCGATTATTCTTATCATACATATGTTGAATATTAATTAATCGCTGTTGATGTGTGTGATAATAAACATTCATCCAATTCGGTACATCTCTATCAATGTAATTAACATATGAATATTTTGTTGAATCATTGTAGATAGCCAAATACACTTGATTTAACCAATTCATTTGTTGTTGTTCATGTTGCTCATTATTAGGATAAACTGTGAACTGAATACCAAATTTAAAATGTCTATGTGGAAATGCTGTTTCATCAGCTGGAATTGTACTTAAATATCCATCCCAAGAATTAAATCCCATATTAATTTGACCATCGCCTGATGCTAATCGATCGATAAATTTATCAAGACTATGACTACTTATTGGTCTATCATAAAATAAATGTTTGGCTTTAAAATGATATGTTGGATATGTTAAACCATCAAGTAACAACTGTTACTTATCGCCACTATCATCATCAATTCCTGATGATTTATAAACAAAAGTTAACCAATCTTGTTCATACAAATCAGTTCTATTTGGAGTTGGTAACGTTGTCAACAGTAACGATATAGTTTTATTAAATTCGTCAAATTCAATACCGAAATAAAGTATTGAAATTTCTACATGAGTCTTCGACACACCCATTGCTAAAACTAAATTATTACTAAAATTCGATATTTTGTCATCAAATAACAATGATTGATATCGTTGCATTACTAATTTTGTTGCAATCGGATACCATATAGATGAAAAACGCCTAGCGAGTGGCGGAGCTTTAACTAATCGAATTTTAAATTCTGTGACAATAACAAACAAACCTCCACCAGAACCACGTAATGCCCAATATAATTCGGGTTCATGAGTTTTATTTATTGTTATTAATTCACCTATAAGAAATATTTGATGTACATTTGTCAATGACAATTAACAAATCTACACTTATAGGTACTCAAAGTACCGTTTTTCTGAGAAGTCAGAAAATTGTCGCTTTAATCCTCAAGAATAGGAATCTAAGATAAGATATCTGATTTTTAAACGTTGAAAAATCTTTTTATATAAAGCCAATGTAATATTCAAGATCCATACGAAAATCTGCAACGAATGATATGCATTCTGTATTTCGAAAAAAACGTTTCTATTCAAGAAAGATAATGTGAGTAAAATATATTTACCTTGAGCATTAACAGCTTTCATTTCCAAAATATTATCGGATAATAATCAATGTAATCGACCAAGAAAACCTAGACCACCACCAAGTGCATGATCAGCAAGTCCCATCCATGCACAACTGCCAGCATTAATTGTATAATTATATTGATATGTTCTATAATAGATTGGACCAATTCTTGCACCAGCTCCAAATGTACCAGTTCCATCATATTGATTAATACGAATGTAATTAATTGCTTCCATGTTAATAACAATATTGTTGTACATTGAACCTAAACTATAGCCTTCATAACTATGACCTCCACTTCTTGCATTGACAATGTAATTTAGTTTTGTTGCACATTTTACGACGTTTTGTACATCGTTACTGTCCGTTGCATAAACAATAACAGCAGGAAAATGAGAAATTCGACCTCCACGAACACTCGACAGTCCATTAACATTGAATTGATCACATTGATATTGAGAACTATTTTGATTTGCTAAAGTGCTACATGGATAAATAGTACGTATTGATAATGGCAGTGACGATGAAAGACATGTTTATAAATCGTCATTATTAGTTCTTGCCAATTTAGAATTAGCACGATAATTTGCTGTAGTAAAGGTCATTTGAAAAACATACACCAACAAAATGAAGGACCAATTCGTCGCTAATTTAACCATTATAGTCTAGAGAAGTGAATCGCTCCCAAGTTACTTATTTTTGTCACACAAAATTAGAACATGTATAGCTCATAAACTCGACTGTCAATGATAATGTATGTAGAGCCCGCACGAGAGTCCCAAAATTGAGGGGGAGGAGATGTATAAGAAAGTGTCTCACAAGAGTAGTGAAAATTCAAAAAATCTTGCTGATTTTACTGAAGAATGGCAACTAATTTTCAATTGTTAGTGAGTGGAGAGGATGTACACTCCTCCACGCCCCCATTTTCACGGCTCTTAAATGACGTTAGTAATCGCCATCTATTTATCAAATATAATAGCCGAGTCTTTAACTTATATTCTTTTCGCCGAACTTTCATTAAAATATCTCCTAGGAGTAATTCATACTAGTAACGAAAGACCCTGAACATCCACAGTCACTGTATTCCCTTTTTCTGTGTCAATTCTTGTTATACATAGATGTTTTCCTGTCATTATCACGACTCCTTGACTATGATTTGTACCTTTCCGATAACGAGGTGTTGTTTATAAGCCTCTTTTATACCATGCAGGAATTAGAAAATGATGAATTTTATTTGATTTCTTATTAAACGACTTTTACCTTGAAGTGCAAGACAAATACACGGTTACTATTTTACAGAAGAAAATGAACAAGAAACAAAAAAGTATTAACAATAATGAATTAAAAAGGTAAAATAATTCTAGTAAAATAGGCTTCAGTATCTGAAGTATTTGACTATATTACTTCACCTTTATGGCACATAATAAATCATCAGATTAATAGTTAGTTTTTTTTTCTTTCATTCAGTGTAGAAAAGATGGAAGTTTTTTGTTTCTGTTTTATTATCTTCACAACAATGTCAATGACGTCGTCTGTGATTTCGAATGTCTTCCGTATGAGATGTAGACTCTAAGATTTTATTTTCTGACCAAATTATTTATCTACTTTTGTTCTTCGACAAGAGATGATGCTGTGGTATCATGCTTCTGTCTATTTCTCATATATTTACGAACAATTTTTATTACCATAAGTGTATTTAAAGAGAGCAGAGCATAATAAAAATAAAATATAATCTTGACTATCGCAAAGCTCTTTGAGGATCGATAAAAGATCTTGTCAAATTTTCCCTTATCACAGGGTGTAGGTGTGAGGGTGAGAGTGTGAATGTGGATAATCTCATATTCACCCTCATCCACATCTTCAAGAAATATCATTCCAATCTCGATATATTGAACAGAAGTATTAACCAATAAATTAAAAGTCTGTAACCCATTACTCGTATATCGTCAATAGGACAAGTTTCATCTACCAATGAAAATCTCTTCGATAAATACAATGTTCAAAAGTATCAAAATATATCATTTAAGGTTAAGCGCAGCAGTATTCGATAAATATGAAAAAAAATCAAGCACGTTCTCATAAATTACAAAACACCAAAAAATGGCGTACTCATGCTTTTCAATTACGGCCTTTTTCCAATGAATGATTGTCGTTTGAAGTAGCTGTTTCTTCTTGTATTGATTGAATAGTAGAATGAGTTTCAATGCGAGATGTTGATGATACTTCAGCGGATGTAGATAATTGTGGTATTGTTTCACACGGTCGATTAAGATTATGCAATAAACAGTCCTTCTCAGACGCTGCAGAGCATAGATTATCCGATATTTTTTTTTTGTCTCCTGATCCAAAATATCAAGCAAAGGACGACATCTCACAACTTATGAATCTGAAAAAAACATACTAGTTTAGTCTTGTGAACACTTCATATTGACTCATCGATCTATTCGTCGGAATTACACAACGTTAGAAGCACAGAAGAAAAAGACAAGATAGAAAAAAATCAAACTGTCTAAGCTGTAGGTTACAAGATTTTCTCTCCGTCTTATCGCGTTGTATTTTTCATACGATTAACGTAAACAATCCTAGCGCTACCTGTTACGTCCTCTTCTCTTTCCTGACAAAAGAAAATGTATCAAAAAATCTCTCTTTTGTATTCTGTTCTCTTTTTCTCGTTGACTCAGAATTCGTCGTGGATACTCTCTTTTGCCATATTGGCTTCCTGCCAAGTCCAACATTGTCCTCATCATTAACAACTACAAAATATGATCTCTAATTCTTGGTATCGCGGAATGAGATCACTGAACACGATATTAATCGTCCCAACCATTGAACAGCAGACTAGAGTATCAACGGGTTCATGTCATACAAAATCGTCGATTTTTTTCTCATCAGTAGAAGATAACTACTTTAGTTAAGAATCATCCCTGCCTATCTACCCTACCTACCTATCTATGCTACCTACATATCTATCTATCTACCCTACTTATACCTACCGGTAATCTGAACTTTGGTGGAAAGTAAAAGTGTCGAAAGGAATAATGTGGAAAAAAATAAAAGATACAAATGTCGAACTATAAAAATATCGCAAGTAAAAATATTGGAGGACAAAAAATATCAAAACACATTTAGATTATTTTACTGGGTATATAAAATAATTAACAGTTTAATGTAAATGAATTTTATTATTAAATAAGAAATTGATGAAAGACAAGCAAAAAATTCTCGATAAGTCAATTGAAAAAGTTAACTAAAATTTTTGACGCATCATTTCTTTTTCGCCACGATGAAAGACAGACCAGTAAGAAGATCAGATGCACTTAGTAAATAATTATTATATCGATGATACAAAGCATCTATTCGATTTTGTAATGCTGCAGTGCGTTTATTTTTTTATTTAATGCGCCAGAAGACCATTGAAGACGTATATTTTGCACCCATTTTTCTTCTACTGTCATAAAGTTAGTAAGTTGCCAAATATTTGAATGGTTTCTTTGCAAACAACTATTTATTCGATTATGACAGCCTTAAATTATAAAAAGAAAAAAATGTCATTTGGTTGGTACATTATATTTACCAACCTTCACAAGTGTTATTGGTGCGACTATCAAATCCAAACAGATTCCACAGTTCAATATTTGATATCCAGTTCGTTTCAAAGTATTGTAGTAATTTCTAAAATCTGCGATCGTGGTAAACATTGAGCAGCACTTCTTACATCTTCAAAACTGCTTGCCACCTTGTCAAATAGCATTAATCCCAATGCCACCATCTTATGACATAAAAGACGAAAATTTTCATCAGATAAATAATGTTATTGTAGCTCCAAACCCTGTATTTGTCTATAGATTGCCTGAGAAAAATGAAAAGGATAACATTTATGTCTAGATGATGGAAACTGAAAATAAACAAATTGATAAAAAAGTAAGTTTTCTTAATTGAAACACGATATACAAACTTCTGTTTTCACTGCCGAAATTAAGTCTGGTTCGAAATCAGACAGCAAATGAGAAATTTTGGATTACTTTTTTCATTGAAGACTTTGAGAAATCCGTTAATACTAAGTAAGTCATGATAACTGTCGTGTACAATTTATTATTGCCTGTATGTTGCATTCTGTGCTCTATTCCAGCAAACAACGCCAATGTCAAAAGTATTTTTTTTCGAAAATGAGACATTTATTCAATTACTTTTGCAATTGAATGTCAGTATATTCAATAAGCGTAGAAACATAAATTCGTTGAAATACTTCATTATCGCACAAACACCTGTTGTCTGAAAAAGACTTACCAATCCAAAAACCAGTCAAACAGTAAATGTAACTACTTTCAAAAAAATGATGTGCTTAATAAAATATCCATCTTTTTTGTGCATTATTTATTATATTTTTGAACTTTGAAGATAATGAAGTACCGTGAAAAGAAGCAACAAGTTATTGAAACTCATAGAAATACGAAAAGTCCACAAAAAGAGAGCTTTCTGCATTGTTTTCATTTTTTACTGTCCATGAAATAAAAATTTTAAAAATTTCAGGACTTTTATAAATTTTATATCAAAAACACGAAAGAAATGACATTTCGGATAATAAAATTCCATGTCACCTCTTTGTTAACAACTGTGTCGCAGTTGCGTGTCAGTACGACGCATCGATCGTAATGAAAAATGCTGGAATGACTACGATTACTGCAACGCAGATAAACGAAAGTGTACCGCATTACTCGCATCGAACGATCCAATGTATCTGATACCAACGAATCATAAACAGCTCTATCTTACTTGTAATTGGTCACACTCTAGCGTCAAAACTTAGTCACAGAGTGACTGCATAAAAGGAAGTCTTCGTGAGAATGTGGTTCATATTTCCTTCTGCTACAACGGATAGAATATACAGTCTGAATGCATTTTTTTGGAATCAAAACAGAGGCTAGAAGGTTGTCGAGGGTCACGAATTCCAATTTGAGATTAGATTTTCATTTTATTAATATTTTTATTATGAATTATTGATAATTTTATCATGAATTATGAATAATTCATAATAAAAATATTAAAATAAAAACCTGACGTCAGATTCAGATTCCTCACTTATAAATATTCCTTAGTCAAGTTTTATTGGAAATATTAAAGATTAAGAATAATTATTAACAAAAATATTAATCAAATATAAATCTTATTTCATGTCATCTCTTTTCTAACAGCTGCGATCACAGTTACTCCGTAACTACGTTGCAGTTTAATCGTAATTGAACACATGGGATGGACATAAAAATTAATGTATTTCAATTTCATTTATTAAAATCAACATTTCAATCAAGAAAATGTAATGAAAATCATTTTTTATGAAAATCATGATATTAAATTGATGAAAATGTTTATTATAATCAATGAATTTGCAGTACATCAATTTTTATATCCATTTCATCATTTTAGTGCATTTTTTTTAAAGTTCCTGGTCGGTTTTGTTTTCAGTTTTCTAACTTGAGGAGATGACAGTCTTGATCGTAATAGGAATTCTGAAAGCATTACAAGAACAAGAATGCAGAAACGAGAATCGATAAAAGTTGTTTCTAGAGGACACTAGCAAACACTATTCATATGGTCGTACAACAAGAAAACAACTAATCACTTAATGATGTAAAATCTCATGTAAAAATGTTTGTTTAGGATCATTCAATGAATTTTCAAGATATGCTCAAGTAAAATGAATGTTGGCTAAACATTTAAAATACATACTACTTTTCAATAGATATCTTTTATATGAAAGCATATTATCAAACTATTTTTTTAAGCAATTATTCATTCACTTCAACGCGAGTATTAACAGTAAATTGTATTATGACAATAGATAAGTAGTATCAATCAATTTACTTGTTTTTTTTTGTGTGTATACTAATGTATATTTTTACGTAATTCCAAATGATGTCGTCAGATTTTTTTGACACAAAACAAGACAGTTCGGTTTTATAATCAATATTTTTTGAAATCTACTCAGTTTCGATAAATATTACACATATTCTTCGTAAACATAATTATCTAATGATTGAGAATACATCATTGTAATTTTATGACATTTATGCAAAATTACGAATCATCGAAGCTATTGACTATTATTCAGGTCATTTAAGTGGATGTAATTTATTTAGAGAATATAAGTATTATGATCGTATGCTGTAATGAATTCAATACAGGTAACGCAGAAACTAAAAAAAACACATATATAAATACCTTCCATGCAGATTTCACTTTTCAATAATATTTTCGTTTATCGAGGTGTCCTACTCAATCATTTGAAGTAGACATGTTCGACGCAACGATTAAGAATGCAACAAATATTTTTTCAAGAAAGCCTGAAGTTTTGAAACAACTTCCAACCGTTCAACGACCTGGTTCGATTATTAAAGAATTTTCTTTAAATACCTCAACACATGGTTTACCTGGTATTGCACGTAGTCAAAGTATACCAAATCGTATATTTTGGTCTGTTTCAACACTTATATTTACCGGTGTAATGATTTATTTTATTGTTCAAGCTATTCATGCATATTTCGAATATCCTACACAAACATCTGTATCGACTATGTTTGAATGGCCTCAAGCTTTTCCAGCAGTGACTATTTGTAATTATTCTCCAATACAATATAATAAATTTATTGGTCCTTTTTTAAACTATACAAATTCATTGAATTTAACAAATACAACAGATACAACTAAGTTTACTTACACACAATCTTTATATGTTGCTGATTTTATAAATTATAAACTTAATCATGAAGATTCTTTGAAAGAGTTTTTTTATCCACTTGAGACAATGATGATTAGCTGTGAATACAATGGAATAACGTGTTCAGTGGCTAATTTTACTTGGTTTTTAACGCCATCATATGGTACTTGTTATACATTCAATGCGAAATTAAAAAATGCCGTCAATGGTGGTATACGATATAACGCTGATAATGGAAGAATGGGTATATTTAAATTACAACTCTATGCACATCGGCATCAATATGTACCCTACTTATCAAATGGTAAGCACAATATTATGATTTTCGAATAATACGCTTTATTTTTAAAATTTCTTTTATATATTTTATATACAGCTACTGGTATGGTAGCATTAGTTCATGACAATGCACAAGTCCCTGATGTGGAAATGTCAGTACTTTATCTCTCACCTGGACGACATCACAGATTGAGCTTTGCAAAAAAAATTAATACTTTTTTGTCGGCACCTTACACAACATGCAATGATAAAGTTACTCTTGGACTACAAGCTATGTTCGATGAATATCACGGCCCTGATTATGGATATTCACGAAATCAATGCTTTTTTGCCTGCATACAAGCATATACGTAAGTATATCAAATTCATTGAATATGGGTCTTTTAAATAATTTATTCATTTCAGTTATCAAACCTGTGAGTGTGGAAATCCTTTTCTTTGGGCTATTCGTTCCGTTGCACTTCTAGGTGCTGATAAAACAACTAATATATCATTTTGTAATATAACAAATCCATGTTACAATGAAGCAAGAACAAATTTTATGAATATAAAATCTATTTGGAGTACTAATTGTCCTGATTGTATGCCAGAATGTTCTTATACTGATTTCATTATTGAATCAACATCACTTCTGGCACCACCTGAGTTTCTATTGGATAGTATAAAAAAGTTTGTTGAATCATCAAATATTTCTGTATCTGCAAACTGGTCAACATCAATGGCTTCAGAAATTCAATCTAATTATGTTGCTTTGGAAGTTGTTCCTGGCACGACACGAACCAATGTCTATACTGAACAAGCAACAATTAGTCCAGTTGATGTTCTTTCTAATGTTGGCGGACAAACAGGTCTTTGGATTGGTATTAGTTTTCTATCGTTGATGGAAATTGCTGAAATGATCTATCGACTTATACGTTATCAATGTCATAATCTTCGAAAAATTATACAAAATAGATTCAGAATACCCGAAACTGATAATTTCTGAATTAAGGATAATAATAATAAATTGGAATAAATTCATCTAACTATGAAATAATTTTTTTAAATGTCCGTAAGACGAATACAATTGTTTAAAAAAAACCGATTCTCCTTCTCTGTTTTATCAATTTTTTTTATTCAAAAATACATAAAATCTTCTGGAATTTTACGCATTGAAAGTACGTTAATCAACTTCGTTTATGTTAAAGATCATCATCGTGTTTATAGACGTCGATCTTTCTAATTTGTAAAAGCAAATATTTGAGTAATCTCTAGTAAGTATACATATGCTATGTCTACTCACTCAGTAATAAATTATATAGGTAAATACAAATAGAATTTTTATTAAGTGTTTATCAAGTTTCATAAGTACTACTGCGTTAATACACTACTCCATTAAATTAAGCAAGAAATATCGTATAATTCAATCAAAAATATAATAATCACTTTTCTAATAGAGTTTGAATGATATATACTCAATGATTATAACCTTGTTTGTTATTACAAGGTGTGTTTTTTTCTAAACCATGAATATATTACTAACGATGGAGGTGTTTGTGTTGTAAGTTGAATCGATTAGACATATTAAGGGCAAATGAAAGCTCTCACCGCCAAAATAACAAGGTTAAAATATTAGCTCCCCTTGGCTTGCCTATAGGGAGATATTTAAAGTTCAAGGTATATGAAATTTAGACATAAAAATGAATCAGAGAAGGTTTTTTCTACTATTGAAAGAATAAAATATAGTGTTGTTCGGGCCAATTATGGGGTTTGTAGGGATGCTCTATCATATGGCCCGAATAACACCATGTTTTGTCCTTATAATAGTGGAGTGAATTTTTCCTGTAGCTCACGGAACCAGCATTTTCTATGAGCCACTAGCAAAATTTAATTCTACTATTATAAGGACAAAACTTGGTGTTATTCGGGCCATATGATAGAGCATCCCTACAAACCCCATAATTGGCCCGAACAACACTATATTTTATTCTTTCAATAGTAGAAAAAACCTTCTCTGATTCATTTTTATGTCTAAATTTCATATACCTTGAACTTTAAATATCTCCCTATAGGCAAGCCAAGGGGAGCTAATATTTTAACCTTGTTACTTTGGCGATGAGAGCTTTCATTTGACCTTAATATATCTAATCGATTTAACCTACAACACAAACACCTCCATTGTAAGAAACTCGATTGTTTTGTGAATCTAATATATATGTATAGTTTCGAAGAAAATAGTGAGCGTAAGTCGAAGGTTTGTGGACCATAGCAACCAAATACAATGGGCGTCAGACTTATTTTTTCAAATTCTTTAGCAATAGAAAAGGGCAATGAACGACATGATTTTGACTGTTCTAGAGTACTTCAAAGCTTTCGTTGAAGTTTGAATGGCTGGAACGTGCTTGTTAATAAACAAGTTATAACTTTCAATACCAATGTTTCTGAGCTTATTGAGATACATACTAGTGCGTTGAGATCTGCTGAAGATACAATGGATATCTATAATAGGCTTATTTGCCAGTTAAATCAATGGTTAGAATAATAACTAAGTTAAATAAAGAGAAATGGAATACGAAAATGAATAAACAACGAATGTATAGCAATAAGACAAACAGTAAAAAAAAGTTCCGTACGAAATGCAGAAATAAATGAGACAGATCGTTTCTCTGGCAATCAATTATTTGTGGAAAATAATTATATTCTGCTAGAAATTTTTTACTTTATATATTTTGTATTAGTATAATAAGGCTAAAAAGCAGATGTGAATTCCATATTTCAGAGGTTATTCTGACCAGTTTTTTTTTTGAGAAGAAAAATCTTTTTTTTATTTGCTCTAGAAAAAGAGAAACTCAAGGCATTTTATTAGTATAAAAAAGACTAAAAATGATTTTTTTTTCACCATTTATTCTAATATGCTCGTATTTGTATAGGGAAGTTATTGAGCATAATCGAAGATTTCTTTATCAACACGTAACGATCAATGTGATTCGCTTCAATCGTTTATAATTATTAATATAAATTAATAGCTTCATTTGTTCTTATACCAATAATAAATTTACCCCATTGAATAATATTCCAAGGTTGATGAGCATATTTATCAGCTTTCAAAAGTTTTCCAGTATTAGAAATATGATAAAGTCGACGACTTAAAGCATCTGCAACCATCCATTGTTCACCATGAAGTAAACAACAACGAAATCCTTGTCCAACATCGACTGACCAAAGACGTTGAAGATTTATTGAAGATTTAAGATCAAGACGTGTTATATCATTTTCTGTATTATAAATAACCATTGCAAGTGTTTTATTATTTGCTTTAAGATCAAAAATATATTCACATTGTTCACATGTTTCGGGTGACTTTCGTTCTTTAACATTTTTAGTTGATGGTGGAAGTTTATATTCAAAAATAGATGGACCTAATCCTTGTGTTAATAAGAATAAAGCAGAATCAGAACAAGTTACACGACTTAATTCACCATTCGATGAAATTGGACATTTTGCCATTGTCATTGTATTTTGATCAAGTGTAAATGCTTCTTCATTTGTCACTATTATAAATCGACTTAATGTTGATGACCAACACATATCCCAAATATTATCATGAGTCCATGGTGTTTGCTTAATAATTGAAAAATGTCGATCAAGTAAAGAAATATTTGGTGGTTGATGTACTAATAAATATTTTTCATTATTAGCTAAAGCTGGAAATTCATCAAATGGTAATTTCATTGTTCGACAAGGTGTAGGTAAAGGAAAAAGATCTTGAATAATAAGACTATCATCAATAACAAGTGGATGTATAGTAAATCGAAGACTTTGAAATTCACTGAATTTTTGTTCAATTAAACGAATATCTTGTGTAAGTAGATCAACATCTTGTTGAACGGCATCATGTTTTCGAATTAATTTTTCCATTACATGTCGAACACGTCCAACTTCTTTTTCTAATTTTGCACGTCTATCATCAACTAAATCTCGACGTTTGGATTCATAATATTGTTCAACTGTTCGATGAGCTTCAACACGCCATTTTTCTAATGCTACAAGATAGGATGGTTCAATAGATGTAAATTTATTTAATCGTTTAGCCAATCCATTTATTTTATCGGATAATGGTGGTATTTTATTATTAATTCGACCAAAATGTTGTGTTAAATGTTCAAAACAATAACATTTTTCACAACATATACATACAGTACGTGATGGACTTTTACATCCGTCGATAGTACATGGTCTGCTTGACGATGCCATTTGTTACCACAAACAAGACAGATGTGAGCCGTTCGAACAGAAGAATGTATGAAAAAATCGATTGTTTGCATATGACATACATTTCGTAAAATTTTCTTTAAATGGTATTAACGAATAGTCAGAAGAAAATATGAAGAGAATCGTCAGTATGTAAGAAAAAAAAACAAAGTATGTTTTAATTGCTTGGGGTACAAAACAAGTTATTGTGAAACCTTTTTTTTTCTTTTCTTTCAAATTGGGAATCAATACAAACCTTCAATGGAATGTGCGCATTGATTGTTACTCAATTCTCAAGGTTTAAGACAACGTGTTGATGATAATTTTCATATCAATTGACCCATTCATTTGTTTATCTACAGACGAAGAATAACGCTAAATTTAAGTTTTGAAATTTTAAATAAAGTTGTTTGTTTCCAATTTTTGTGACTATTGTATAGTCTGAGGTACTATCTATCTGCGGAGTACATTTTTGGAATCCAAGAATTTTCAAAAATCAAATTAGCGAAAACTCGGCATTGTTTCGTATTTTTCTCAAACCAACTTTTTCATCAGAAAAAGTGCAAAAATACCTCTACTTCTTCGGCCAAGGATATTCTATCGATGTGAAACTTTTATTCAACAAATCATACGTTTTTGTAGAGCACCTTCGATGTTTTAGTAGGATAAAGAAACAAAAAGATACTCATTCCAAATGGCGCTTAGTACGTATAAAAAAATGTTTCAGCTTGATCGAACATGACGTCTCGAAGAAACGGAAGCGAAAATCATCGAAGACAGCATCTACGAACTTTGAGTCTACGACAATTTTTGCTCTACTCGTTATTAAATGCAGTCAAATCGAAATAACACAATTACAATAATTTACAGTCAATTCAATTTTTTTTTTCACAATGAATATTTTGTATAATATTCTTTTGAGCTAAGACAACTTTTATAGTAAATATAGTTCTTGATCATCATCAATCATTCAAACTCTATACATAATACCACTTGGAACCTTGTAAACTGCAACGATTATAAACTTAGTTTGTATATCTATATACTATTTTTAAGAGTGCTGAAGGTCGTGTTCACTCATACTCATAGTTAATTTGTATTGATTGAAGGACATTCGAGTTTCGATTATTCCTTATTTAGATTCTCACTTGTTTTTTCTGCATTTTTTTGTGAAGAGAAAGGAAGCTATATGAATATGAAATTCTCACTAATTCTACTCGTCTTAATAGACAAGAAAACTGAAAGATCAAGATTATAAGTCGAAAATGAGAAATATTCAATCATTTTTATTGTAATCATAGTATATATTTGACAAAAAAATTAAACTTATGTCTGAATAGCTATTTTTTCCATTTCTTAGACGAGTAAAAAAAACAATTACTATTATTTAGTATGAAATTACAAAATAATAATGATTTACATGAACTACTATATATTTGTGATGATTATTAAGCCTTTTTCTATGATTAGTCAAAATGAGATACTAATTTTGTAAATGTAGTACAAGCAAACAAGAAACAGCATAGCCACTAGAAAATTAACAAAATATATCTATTGAAAGATAGGACAATACTGGTTCGGAAATCGCCTTCATGTTGTACCGCACAAACAAAGATCACGATGAACAAGCAAAAGCTGTATTCACTTTCAATGAGCCAGAGCTTGGTGAACAAGTTAACATGAATCTAATAGAAGCAGCACGTATCTGGAACCGGTACGTTGAATCTCTTCGAACTCAAGGAATTCGACTTGATTCGTCGGCTATTATCTTGACTAATCAAGATTTACAATGGTTGCAACCATTTTTTGATGAACTGAACAAGATAGGTGGACACGTTAATTCTTTTTGCTCTATACGATCTAGTATGCTCGTAGAGAGAGCAAAAATTTATTAAGTGGATTACTAATATTCTTCAAAGATTTTTGACAATAAATATAATGTATGGATTACAGATTTCGCCTCCATATCGTGAAATCTGAAATTAACAGGTCTCTCAAATAGCAGTCAATGAATTTTTATGAGAGAGTTTAGCTAAACTTCGTTCATTAAGAAGAACAGCATGCAACTCCTGATAAGGTTCACAAGACAAATTTAATGCTACACACAGTTCAACTGAACGTTTGATTGGATTTAATAGGTAAACATCCGATTTGAATCAAAAATATGTTTACGACAAAAAAAAAATAACTAAGAAATAATTTTAAAAATGAGTAAACAGTCAAATATATACACTTTTAATGTTTGGAACGATAATCAAAAAAAAAAAAAAAAAAAAAAAATAATAAAATAATAAAATACAATATCTACTGACAAACATGACATACAACAGCTTGAATAAAAAATAAAGATAAAATGATAATCGATATTAATTCTCATTAGTTCATTATATTACAAATTATATCTTATAAATTCATTCGAGCTATTTTTCTATGCATTCAATACGTTCACAAATTGTATTAAAAATTTGATCGAATATTCTTGTTTGTTTACCATAATTTTTACCACTTTTTCCATGTCGATGATGTAAATCATGATCTTCAATAGTAATTTCCATTTTAAATGGTCGAAGTACTTCACCAACAACTGGATGAGTCCAATAAGCACGTGCACCACAATGACCCACACCTTCAACATACAAAAGAATACATTGAGTTATCCACAATTCATGTGCTGATAATGGCATAACTAATGATGCCCCTAATGGAATGAAAATAATTTCAATAATATCTTGTAAATCATCAGCAAGAATTGCTTGAATTGGTGTTGGATGTTTTGTAGAATGATGTTTACGATGAATTTTCCAAAGAAAAGGAAATGTATGAACTGAACGATGATAAGAATAAAAGAAAAAATCTAATACTATAAACCAAAGACCAATTTTAATTGGAAAATTCCATGAAATCGTATGACCAAGTGATGGAGGAGTATAACGATTATATCCACCGAGAATTAAACCACCAGCAGTACGTATCATTATATAAATAAAAACACTTAGGATTAATCGAGATACATCTTTATCATCAACATAATCACGTGGTCTGTTATGTTCATCAAAAGTACCATATAAATTCATATAATTTGTAAGACGTTTAATTGAGTTAATAGTAAAAATAATTAAAGCTGCAGTATAAAAAATAAATGCTACAATTGGATGCCAAGTATGAAAGAAATTATTTTCAGGTATAATATAATACCAACATGCTTGAATTATTAATGGTGGTGCAATCATCATAGTTAACCAGATACGTTCACGCCAAACATTAATATTTGGTGGTGGATTTGGATTTTGTGGTTGTACAGTGTAACATTTATTATTGGCAAGATCAAGTGTAGCAACACGCTCCCAAAAATTTCGTTCATGATACGGCTTTTTTACCCAATTAGGTGTTGCACGAAGTTGATAAGTAACAGGTGATGAAGGTAAACGTTGAGAATTTGCATCAGCTTCAGAGTCTTGTGATTCTTCATAAATTGTTTTAGTAGTAAATATCGATGTCATATTTATTTGAAGAATATATTTTAAGTATTACAAGTAGTATATATTTGACTCTTGCATTGACATACAACGATTTTCCAATTCTTTTTACGACTTTCTGAAAGTATGATTCATCTATAATGTCTGTTCTCGTGCTGTTGTTCTTTGTGAATGTCGTCTAAAAGAACAGAATAAAAGAGAGTACAAAAAAACAAAGTGAGCCGTGGAAGTTTCTAGATGATTCTTATCGATTCTTGTTGCACTCAATTTTCTTCATTTACAACGAGCCAATAGGAAATGGAATGCGAACTGTAAAAGAGATTAGAATAGAAATGTTCTGCTTGAGAAATCAAATTTGTATGATGTTGACATGTATATTTAACTCTTTCTTTTCAAATAGCGCCTATGAGTGCCATTTTTTTAAAGTTTCATTTTCTTACAATATAAGGCATATAGAGACTAAGTTTATACCAACTTAAGACACATCTATTATAGATTTTATATCAATAATCTGAATATAAAATTCTTTATAAAACTTTTATTTGTTACTCAGACAAACATACAGTGTTATGGCGTGTGATATAGTCGTGCCATAAGAGAATGTTAAAGAACTATTATGACCTATCTATACTAGCACTAAATCGATGTGATTCAAACTTTTTGTATGCATATTAGAGATCATTGTGATCACAATGCTAGACGAATTTCAGTTCCAGACCTTAAACTTTAGTCATAGAAAAGAAAGGGTTAAAATAAACCTTGATAAATTCATCGATTTATATTATTTGTACATAAAAAATTTGTTGTTGCAAAACCTTTTCCTAGTTTTGAATAAAGTTCTTCTATTCGTACTGAATTTAAAGATTTATGTTCAAATTTTAGTCTTTTCTATTGGATTAGATAAATATTGATCCCAGGCCTAGTGCAACGGATTGGTGTAGTGTTACGCATTTTTTATTTCTAAGCAACACTCTGTATATACACAAAATCTAGGCGTTAAGATTCTAATTAATTCTTACCTCAAAAATACTAATTAAGAAGAGTACTGAAAGATTTTGGATATGGTGATTAAAAAGCACATAGATGTCGCTAATTTGAAATTTTTCATGAACGCGGTTCGTTATGACACACTTATATGCAATGGCTATATTCCTAGAGATTATCCTTTCTCTCCCATATTGTATTGAAATAAATCTTGATCTTCAAGAAGTCTGCATTTTTGTCGATTATTGTACATTACTCATTGATTGTATTTTGATAAGCTTTATTTTTATCAAAACTAATTAAGATAAAATATTTATAATTGAAATCGATTTTTAGCGCTTGACCCGAAGAACACTGTAATTTGTCCTCTATTATTCTTTGGCACAATTTTAAAATGTTAGAATAAAACGCAAAGACTAAAAATTAGTGAATTTCTCGTGCCTCTTAAACTGCTTTTTTTCCGTAATGAATTGAAAAACTTAGTTTTTTCGCAATAGTAGGACTCAGGCTTTCCATATTGTTAAAAGAGATGGTGAATGATGAAAAAAAGAAAAATAGAAATACATTTTCTTTATAATGTTTTTCCGAAATCAAAGGTCTATTCACTTGTTAATGCAAACGAATGTTTTTTCTGGTTTACATCTATGTTAATGTGGAAATCATCAAAATCAAGTTTTTTTAAATATCCATGACTAAGATTGAAATGGAAGGTCATTTGTACAGATGAAAGTCGAAATTTCCTATATCAGAAAGTTCATTTACATAGAAATAAAAGTTAGATTTTTACAAAAAAGAAAGAATAATATTATACAAACACTATATTAACCATTCTTATGCTTCTTTTCTACAATTAAGATGTAAACATTGTTATTTATTACTAGTTTTTTTTCAAATAAATATCATTACGAGATGTTAATGAAATAAAAGACTAGACAAATAGTTAAACTGCGAACACCATTATTAATTTATCTTTGACATACTATGCTATTGGCTGAACCTTCCTTAAGATGAGTTTTTAATGAAAAAAGAAGATTCATCTAACATATATGTATTTTTTTTGACATCAAACTTAAGCCTTTCAATCCTGAAATTTTCTTTCGTTCTGCACAAATTTAAGGCCTTCCCCCACTCAAAAGCCGATTTCAGTTCAAGTGCATTCAAATGGGCTGAAATTTGGAGCATATGTTGGAACTGAAGTGAGGAGACTGTGGTAAAATTTTCAGCTCGATAATACGAGGTTTGACAAAGATATGAACCAAACAAGGGTTAAAAATTGCTCATTTTCTATCCAAGATTTCTCAGTCCAGGCTCTTCGAATATATTTAATTTATTTTTTATTTGAAAGAGCATGTCAATATGCAGGGCATCACAGAGTCCTTTTTTTTCAAATTCTTACTTGTTTAGCGGAGAAAGGGGATCACAAGTTCAATGACTCAAAAAAAGCGCCAAAAATGGGTGTCTAGTTACATAAATGTCTATATATATAATAAAAAACAAAGCTTAATTAAAAAAGGACTCTGTGGTGCCCTGCATCTCGACACGTTCTTTCAAAAAAAAAAATTTTTAATATATTGAAAGACACCGGACTGAGAAACCTTGGACAAAAGATCACAAAATCGCAAACTGAGAAAAAACGAAAAAACATTTTTCGTTTTTTTAAAAATAAGCATAATTTTCAAGAAGAGGTTAACGAAAATCATCAAAATTTTTAGCCAAAAGAGGGGTGTTGGATAAAAAAGCATATCATTTCTAAAAGATCTGAAGACGGACTATCTTCCTATGCATTTATCTCAATTTCAGAATTTGTGACGAAAATTGACTTTTTTGAGTGGGGGAAGGCCTTAAGGAAATCTCGATTTCTCTCTCTCTTATGTTCTGCTTTAGATAATCAACTGCACTATGATTTCATTTGGTTTTTTTTCTGTACTATAGAATTGAATCAAGTGAACATAAACGAAGGAGGTGAGCCTTAACAATGCAAATGAGTCTCCATGCAAAATTTAGTTATTTTTGTTTTCCAACTAATCGTATTAGATGTAGAAAAGAATTACCTATAAAAATAAAACTGTCCGACACTCAAGAAATCGTGAGTTCTAGGAGAATAGTTTTTTGAACGTTGATTATACGGTACGCGCATTAGTATAGATGGAAAAACTCAAGGATCAAATTCGTATTGTCCTTACTATAAGTGTTCCTGCACGGTTATAATGAACTTCGATTCATAAACTGATAGATTTGTTTTTGAAAATCAACAAAATTAACTTTAGATTCGTGTTCCTCGCTCAAAACTGCTTCGAATAAGTTACTTTTGAATGACTTTTCGGTCGTATCTCAACTGGTTCATATAATGCCTGCACTATATCCATATATGATAAGGATAAACGTATCATTATTTTGATCATCATTTATACATATAAGTAGCTTTCGAGTTCGGCTTTCTACCACTCGATAGTCTTTTATGAAAACTACTAAACATTATGTTCGTTAAACGCAAAAACAGTAATCATTTTAGAAGTCTCTAAACAAATATTTCTTTGGACATGATTGTGCACTTTTTAACTGTCAGTTAGTGTCTTTCAGTAAGAGAATAATGTTTTTAATATCAAAAAGAGTTGTCTCATAGTTGGAACCATCATTAAAAACTAATTCAATTAATATATATATATATATTTTTCGAATATTATTGAGAAGACATCCATACACTCGCATATATCGATTGTCGATTCAATGGTATAAAAACTTTTATTAACTGTTACTGTTTATCGTATTTTTCATGTTGAGTTTTATCTATGATTTAATCGAAAATCAAATCTTGTTTTATTTTATTAGAAAATAAATTCTTGAGCATAACTTATTTCATTTGATGATAAATCATTCATTTATTTAAGATAAAGTTTGAATAAAGAACATTTAACTAATTCTTGTTTATGTCAAAATTTTTTAATTAATCCTAATGAATATCCATCAACTGTAACAACACAAGATGAATAATCGAGATTTTTCCACCATCCAATTGACATTGAACAAGGGCGAATTCGTTCTAATAATGGGTCATAGTCAAATTATTTACTTACAGATAGAACACAAAGATTTTCTAATATAGAAGATAAATCAGTTTTCGTTTGAATAATTAAACCAGTTAATTTAACCCTTTCTTTCGGAATGACACCTATAAGTGCCATTTTTTTTTAAGTTTCATTTTCTTACAATATAAAGCATATAGAAACTAACTTTATACCAACTTAAGACACATCTATTATAGATTTTATATTAATAATCTGAATATAAAATTCTTTATAAAACCTTTATTTGCTACTCGGACAAATATACTGTGTTATGATGTGTGCTATAGTCGTGCCATAAGAGAGTGCTCACGAATTATTATGACTTAACTATACTAGAACTAAACTGATATGATTCAAACTTTTTGTATGCATATTAGAGATCATTGTGATCACAATGCTAGACGAATTTCAGTTTCAGACCTTAAACTTCAGTCATAGGAAAGAAAGAGTTAAGTTATTTTTATTAGATATAAATATTCGATTATTTTTCTGTTGGAGTTTTATTTAAGATAAAAATAAAATAAAATCGTCATTGAATATCAATGATTTAATCTATAAAAATTAAAGATTAAGTTTAATAGTCTTTAAATTCATTACAAGTTTTGTTTTTTATCATTGCAAGAAAAACAAAACCAAAAGCATGGCAAATTACAATAGATGATATTCATGTATTGTTTCTGAGTAAGATCATAATTCATAATCAATATTATAGAATACTTGTTAGAAATCTTGATACATGCTAACATTCATTGAAACCAAAATCTGCTCTTATTCTATCATATCATATAAATTCATTATATCAGTAACAAAATTAAGAAAATCAGAACTCAGTTTCTAAAGTTTATTGATGCCGCTATTTTTTATTCATGAACTAACATTTCAATTCGAAGAATAATTAATACATTTCAAGGCACCTATGTAAATTTATGTAGAATAATCTTATCCTAATAACCTATATTCAAACAAGTATCCATT